CCGCCCACCACCTCCCTCCCCCAACGCCCCGCCCACCACCTCCCTCTTGCCCCCTCCCATCCCCCCCAGCGAGTACCCACCCCCAGCGCTGTGGCGGCACATGGAAAGTTGGAGGCCGCAGACGCTCCCGAGCAGGGAGCGGCGAGGGGCCCGCTGAGCCGTAAGCGCCGCACCAACAGGCTGCTCGCTGTGGCCGCGCTGATTTATGCGGCTGTCTGGGAGCCTGGCCAAGTCTGTAAGTCATGGACAGTTAGGAGACGCGCTCCAGCCCTCAGCCCTGTCTGCCTCTCGGGCTCCGGGCCCGACTGCGCCCCTCCTGAACAGGGCTGTCCCCCACAGAGACCCCTTGGCGGGTCCAGGTCCAGGTCCTGAGCGCACTTTGCAGAGGAGGACGCTGAGGCCCAGGGATGCTGGCAGCTGGCCTTCGTCCCTTGGACACCAACCAGTGAGTTGGTGGCCATGCCCAGGGTCTTGCCAATCACCCCCGAGGCATCTTCCTCTGGCTCAAGGGCCCGCTTGGCATCTTGGGGGCTCTACCCAAGGGCCAGGAGGGGAGTGCCCAGGAAAGGGAACGGAAAGGGAGGCAGCCACCCCAAACGGTCACCCCGACACCTCAAGACTAACAAGGGCCAAGGGTCATGGTCTTCAGGTTCAAACACCTCCGAGTCCCAGTGTCATCGAGCCCTGGGGTCTTCCTGTCCCTGGAATCTGAGACTCAGGCACCTGGTGCCAGGAAGCGCCTCTGAGGCCATCCTGGGCCATCTTGGGCTCCAGACAGGACTGCCCTTCCCACCGAGCCCTGATGGGGGAAGGACTAGGGGTCCCTGAGTCCTGCGAGCCTGAAGACGTAGTCCTAGATGTTACTGGAAGCCTAGAGCAGTGTGTGCAGCAGAGCTTCCTTTAATAGTGGAGAGGCTCGCCCGTCCTGTACGGCGGTCGCCTGACACACAGGCTGGTGAGCGCTTGAAATGTGGCTGGCGGAGCTGAGTCCTTAAACGTCAGTTGCGTTTAATGAACTGAAATGTCAGTAGCCACACGTGGAGGGTCGTAGATGAGATACAGGATGCCTGGTTATATTTGAATTTCAGATAAACAAGAGATCATTATTTTGCCTCGGTATGTCTTAAATTTGGGATATACTTAAGGAGACAAACTAAAAAATGACTCACTATTCCTCAGAAATTCAAATGTAACCCAGCGTCCGGTATTTTATGGGGCACCTAGCCCCTGCGGCTAGCAGCTGCCCATGGGGCAGCACGTCTACAGAACACAAAAGGATGGGCAGCTCCCTGGACATGTGGGTCTGGGCACCCTGGGTTAAACCAACCGACACAGGCAGAGGGGCTGCAGCTCCCAGTTGACGCTGTGGCCTCGGCGTGGTTGGTGGGGTACAGGGGTGGGGGGGCGGGGGGCCCGCTGGAGCCCTGCAATAGCCTCCCTGGGCCTGGGCCTGGCTTCCAGACCCTGCAGGGCAAGAAGAAGAAGCAGCTCATTCCCTGGCCCAAGCACACACGAGCCCCAGGCCCAGGCACACGCCCCCTCCCAGTGCCCACACACTCCGAGCCCCGAGGGGGAGGGGGAGGGGGGCCCCACACCTCCAGCGGCCCCAGTGGAGAAGTATTATAAACATTTACAACAAGTAGACAAAACAGTCTATTGTAGCGACCCCTCCGCCTCCCCTAGGAGCTGGGGTGAGGCTGGCATGGTGGGGGGAATACTTGGGCCCCCGCCAGGACGTCCTCTGTTTGCACAAGCGGAGGTGTTTTCATCTGAGGGCAGTCTGCGTGCTGTGGCCTTTGTCGTGTCTGCTACTGAAATTTCCTGTCTCTGTTATTCTCTTCCCCAGTAAGACCATCTGAAACCCAAAACTTTTATTGCCCCTTTAAAAGAGGCTTTACAGCTCCCCATCTGCCTCATCCTGGTCCGCTCTCGGAGCTGCTGTGATTGTAATTAGCGAGGCACGCTGGGCGCTGGGCACCGTGTTAGGAATTCGTCCTGGTCTCAGCCGCAGGGTCTTGGCGGGAGGAGCTGCAGGGAGGAGGGCCAGGTATGTGGGCAAGCCCGATTCTGCAGAGTCAGCTGGAAGCCCCGGGGTTCGCTGCTTGGCTGGTTGGCAAAGCAAGCTGCACACCCTGGTTAGCAGCGACCCAGGGCACGCGCCACCTGGGGACCTGGCTGCTGTCCCGGCCACCTCCCCGAGGCTCTGTGCCCTGGGGCCTGGCTCTTCCCATCTCTGCACCCGGATCCCCCACCTTTGACTGGGAGTGGCTGCCTCTCCCCGCCAGGCACTCAGGCCCGTTAGGGTGAATTAAGTCAGAGGCTGGCTGGACTGGAAAGATCCTGGGAAAGTGATAAAGGCAGAAACAGGAGGCGAGAGGCGGGGCTGGGAGGAGTGGGGTGCTCAGGGCCCCGGCTTTAGTTTCCCCACTCCGGCCCCAGGCACGTTCGCTGCGTTCCCCTAGTCCTCTATGCCTCAGTTTGTCCGTTTGTAGTACAGCCCACTTCACATGGGTTTTGCCAAGATTAAATGAGATAATTGAATACAGAGCACTAGCAGAGTTGTTTTTTTTTTTAAAGCTTTAATTTTATTTTTGGTTGCGTTGCGTCTTCGTTGCCTAGAGAAAGCCCGCGAGCGGGGGCTACTCTTCGTTGCGGTGCCTGGGCTTCTTGCGGTGGCCTCTCTTGTTGCGGAGCACGGGCTCTAGGCGCGCGGACTCAGTAGTTGTGGTTCGCGGACTTAGTTGCTACGTGGCATGTGGGATCTTCCCGGAGCAGGGCTCAAACCCGTGTCCCCTGCATAAGCAGGCAGATTATTATCCACTGCACCACCAGGGAAGTCCCTAGCAGAGTATTTTTTAAATGACATTTTTTTTTAATGGCATCATTGTTACTTTCATTATCAGTGGTCATGGGCAAGCAAGGGAGTCTCTAGAATGTAGTAGACGGATCCTTACCCTCAGGGAACATTCACCCTCAAACACCCGCATTTGACAAGGAAACAAAATGCTTCAAACCAAGTGTTTATTATGGGTGAAGGAATTAAGCAAGGCAGACTGCCTGGAAGAGGCAGGTTTGAGACTGAAACCAGAAAAGCCAAGTGGACGGAACTGTGTGAGCCTGCAGACACGTGGCTCTCTGTTCTCGCCTGTGAGGCATGCTCTGAGTCTGACCGTCCCCTGCGTACTGACCATCTCCCTGAGCTCCTGCACCTTTCCCGACAGCAGCAGGAAAACCACCGCTGACCCGATGGAGAGATGATGCCAACGGCTGGGCTGTCCCTGCTTCCACTGCTGGCATGAGTGCCTCTAAAAACGGCTGAAATGCATCTCAGGGGGCTGCAAGGAGCTCCGGTTCTCTATGTCTCAGTGCAGAAAGAATTCAGCGACAGGCAAAGTGATAGATAAGAAGTGATGTATTAGAATAGGACACTTGTGAGGCTTACAAGTGGGCAGGCAAGAGGGTGCCACCCCCGAGAATTTAGTGGGCTACGGTTTTACAGTCAAAGGAAAAACGGGGAGGGGGGAAAAGACCACCTGCCTCCTCACTGTTGAGTAGACGTCAAGCTTCCATTATAACCTCCTCTTGCATGTCAGGCGGAGGAGTTTTCTTGGCCTTACGTGGTAAAGCCGGGACTGTCGTGGAGCAATGGAAATGACCAAAAAGGCAGTAACGCATACTAAAAATGGTAAATCATCTCCGGTTTCAGTATAATGTCACCCTTTCCTTATATTTTTGGTTTTCGCGTGGGCAGAGGAGCGTGTCCTGGGAATCAGTAACTTACTGACCTCACTGCACAG